TTATTCATGAATACGCTCATTCTAAGATTTATTGTCAACGCCAAACTGGATTTTTACAAGATATCGTTTCAGATCGAATGATATCCTGGCAAGAAGAAGGTCACTGGGAAGAAATATTTATGATTCATTTGTTTGTTTCCGGAAATAACATTTGATATTTTACAAGTATTCAACCTCTTTGCGAGATTCTGATTAAAATTTAATACAGCAATGCTTTCAAACTATCATCTATATTTAATGATAGAATTGTATGAACAAAGGAAATACTTCAGGAGGTGGGAATTTTCACGGGTTTGACTTTTCAAACTGCAGATGCTTAGCTGTGTTTCAGAGAAGTTAATTTGTTTCTGGAAAATAATTAAATTGAAAAGATGCAGGGAAATGTTTGATGTCATTAGACTTCCCATAGCAGTACAAGTAATTTGATAGTTGCCACTACAAAGAAAATTTGAAATAAATCAGTAAATGCATTTCTCAAATTCATTCACCTGTGTTGGAACAGGCAGCCAATCATAATATGGCAAATAGTACATATCTGATGTACAGGCAAGCTTTTCATTAAAATGTAATTCTAGTTCAGTTATTAAATAATATGTCTGGTATAACCTGAAGTAGATGAATATGCTACTTTTGTTATCTTTGATTTCTTTCATATTGTGAAATAACTTTTCCTATTTCTTTTTGTTTTGTTTTGTTTTTAATTTTTTCTTCATTCAAATCCAAGGATCAAATCACTTTAACAATCTAGTAATTAACATTAATAATCATCCAAGTGCTGCTACCTCTCCCAGGCCCTTTGTACTTACTAAAAACTGGTTAATTATTAATTTCACTAAAACCAACATGGGAAAGGCTTAGTGTGCTAATGGTAAGGGTTTTAGACTTCGAATCAAAGGGTATGGCTTTTGGCACAGGATGAGATCATGTTGTGTTTGTGGAAAAGACACTTTACTCAGAGAACCACTTCCAGCCAGTACTGAACATAACTAAAAATGGCCACAGCTAATTGTTTATGATAACCTGGCAAAATCATGGTGGGTGACCTGGGAACATGTGAAAAAAGGGATTGTTAGTCATGGTAGTAAACATTGAACAGAGGGAAAAGAAGGGCACGGTTTGGGCAAAAATATTTTCATTATCATTAATTTCTCTTTTGGAAAGGCACAGTTTATCTCCTCATTTTCATTTACTTCTTAATTACAATAACTAAAATTTCTTGTTCATTCATTGGCTAGTTTTATTTGAAATGTTTCCTTGAGAAATGTTTTGTTCATGAATACAGTTGTTTATTTAAAAACAATTTAATTGTTAAATTACAATCCATTCTTGCCCTAACAGTGGAGTCATATGATAGAAGCACTGCAAAAGAATATGAAAGCCTAAACAATGACTTGACTCAGAAGTATGACACCCTAAAAGCCAGTAAAGAAAAGGCTATGAAACATGATGATGAACAATTTAAATCAATTCTTAAGCAGGTGAGCCTTGTCATTTCTCTTGAAATACCTTTGCTGTGAATACTTATGTCCACTGTGTTTAGGTTTTAGTGTGAACTATACCACTGCCTGGGGCCATGATTGCTTGTTAACCCTTTGACTGCCAGATTTTCACAAAAAATGCCGTTTTTAGCCATTAAATCAGTTTTTTGGATGCCATGATGCTAAATGGGCCTTAGTTTTGCTGAGAAAGCAATTTTTTTACCAAAAAGATCGATTTCCCNCAAGATTAGGTACAAAATGTACAATGTTTTAATTTGGCGCACATGCATAAGCCAAAATTTGGACTTGGTTTTTTCTTTTTTTGCGATTGCCCGTTCCAAGTTTTTTCTTTGCCCTTTCCTTTTCTTTTTTCTTGGTCCTTTTACTCTTACTACCTTTTGCATTTCATATTCTTTCTGACTTCCGAAAAAAGTTGGGTGTTAATTATGGGCCAAGCCTGGAAATGGGACATGGATCAATTACCAGTATAGTAGGCCATTTTCCCACCATTTTTGCACCTAAGCTGATTTGCAACATCAGAATGCAGTCAACATACAAAACCACCTGTTGTGCGGATAGATCTATCCTAGCTCTACCATCTGCTTATCAAGAATATCTGATGACATTAAAATTGATGACGTCACAATTGGTACAAAGAGCACCACCACTCAGGACCTGTATATGTGCCATTTGCAGTCAAAGGGCTTAAGTTTTGAACAACATCTATGGATATAATGTTCATTAAATAAAGGAAAGTCACATTCTAAATTAAAATAGTTGACTTTTTCATTGACTAACTTTCAATTCAGAGCCCAGTACCTTTGTTTCATAACAGTTCTGAAATGTGTTCAGTCTACTGTTGCACATACTCCCTACATGTT